ACCCCCCAGAGTAGACTTTTTTTTTAAGACGGGGTCTCACTTTGTCCCCCAGGCTGAAGTGCAGTGGCACAATCTCAGCTCACTGGAGCCTCAGCCTCCCAGGTTCAAGCAATCCTCCTGCTTCAGCCTCCCAAGTAGCTGGGACTACAGGTGCATGCCACCAGGCCCAGCTAATTTTTGTATGTTTTTTTAGAGACAGGGTTTCACCATGTTTCCCAGGTTTTGTCATGTTGCCCAGTCTGATCTCGAACTCCTGAGCTCAAGCGATCTACCTGCCTTGGCCTCCCAAAGTGCTAGGATTACAGGCATGAACCACTGTGCCTGGCCTTGAAATACTTTACAACGGTGAAAATGAGCTACAGCTATACCTATCAAAAATATAATGTCAAACGATAACAAAAGGTTAGCTACAGAGAAAAGATCATAAAACACGATTTTATGTATATACAAGTGAAATACAGGCAGAACAACACAATAGATTGTTTAGGGATACAGAAATATTTGCTGAAACAAATCAGGGGCTGGTAAAGTTCAGTTTCCTAATCTGACAGGTGGTTCCACTGGTAATCTTTTCAATATTCCTTAAGCCATGTATATGTGTTTTATATAGCGTCTCTTTGGATGCCCAGTGCATTTCATTTAAAAATATTTAATGAGTGAATTGACATGTAACAAAGAGATATGACTGAATAGAGGAAGACTTGAGATGTTTATTTTCATTTTAGTTCATCTTTATGGTCTGAATTTGTTACTATGAACATGTGGTATTTCCAAAATAGCATTATTTTAAGTGATTTTAGGCCCTTTAGAAGAAGGGAGGTGGTTATTTCCTAGCCTAGAGCTAGCTCTTCTTTGATAATTTCACTGAGTGCAATGAGAGTTGCCTTCTCAGAGCCACAGGCTGCATCTGGAATGTTAATGCAAGGGCAAATACCGGCCTGCTTGGTCAAATATGTACACTGCTAACACGGTAAAGGACGCCCGCAGGCTCTGAAATGCCAGAGGGATGACCTTGAGGCCCAGGTGCAGGTGGGGTGTTCAGGGAGAAAGGGCCACACCCAGACCTTCTGCAATGGCCTGGCCGGCACATGCCCTCACATGGAAGGAAGCGCAGATGTCAGCTACGTCTTTGTTCACAAAGCCTTACAAAGTCAGGCCTCCACAGCTATCATCAGATGGACACTAAAGGCACGAGTGTTCCTTTCCCTCTATGTGGAAGGGAGAAGGAGGAGTACGTTTGATTCCCTTGGTGGCCGAGGTGTTCACAGCTGATCTGAATGCCAGATGGAGTAACTCAGACTTCTCCCAAACTTCTTCCCCAACTCGGGGCATGCTGCAGATGCTCAGGAATCATCTCACTAAGATTCGGAACTGGCACACTTTGACGGGGCTCCTACTGCCAGGCAGCCTATGTGTGCTTACTTTTATGTGTATTCTGTAACACTGAATTCTTTCAGGAGTAGGAAAAGTGAGGGCTGGGTGCAGTGGCTCACGCCTGTCATCCCAGCACTTTGGGAGGCCAAGGCAGGAGGATCACTTGAACCCAGGAGTTCAAGACTAGCCCAGGAAACAGAGTGACAACCCACCTCTATAAAAAAGGCTTTTTTTTTTTTTGAGACAGAGTTTCACTCTGTCACCCAGGCTAGAGTGCGGTGGCACGATCTGGGCTCACTGCAAGCTCTGCCTCTCAGGTTCACGCCATTCTACTGCCTCAGCCTCCCGAGTAGCTGGGACTATAGGTGCCCACCACTGCGCCTGGCTAATTTTTAGTATTTTTAGTAGAGACGAGGTTTCACCGTGTTAGCCAGGATGGTCTCGATCTCCTGACCTCGTGATCCGCCCATCTCGGCCTCCCAAAGTGCTGGGATTACAGGCATGAGCCACCGTGCCCGGCCAAAAAGGCAATTTAAAAAAACTAGCCAGGCACAGTGGCACTCACCTATAATGTCTGCTACTCGGGAGGCTGAGGCGGGAGGATCCCTTGAGCCCAGGAGTTTGATGTTGCAGTGAGCTATGATCACGCCACTGCACTCCAGCCTGGGCAACAGAACAAGACCCTGTCTCAAGAAACACAAAAACAAAAACAAAACAAAAATCCTGAATTGGATATTTTTATCTTCATTTGAAGTCCAGAGACACTAAGTAAATTGACCACAGGCATACAACATGTTAGAAGCAGAGCTGGGATTTGAAAGCAAGTCTCCTGAATACTCCTTCTTGTGGGTTGAGGGAAGAAGTCCTTGTTGCCTATAGGCTGCTCTGGGTGGCAAAGGGCGGTTCCCCTCCCCCCACCCCATCCCACCCTTCCCAGGCCCTGACTTAGTAGAAGCAAAATCAAGAGGCTAAACCTGGGCTGCCCCGCCTTGCTCTGCGGCCACCTCAGCCTGGCATGTGCTTGTGTCTCCTCAGGAAGCCAGCACTGTCCTGCACTACGTGCTCCAGCAACCTCCTGAGCTGCTGCAAGAGCCTGTGGGGGCTCAGGTTCCTTCAGAGACACATGGGAGGCCCCTCGGAGGAGCCATCGGGGGAGCCACTGTCTGAGGAGCCACAGAAGAGACCTCCCCAGAAAGCGGTGAGGACGCTGCCCTCTGAGGCTGTCTAGACCTAGCCCCAGGACACTGAAGATACTGCTCCTGGTCCCCAAGATGTGACTCCTGGAGCTCCTAAGGACCCAGTCTCCAAAGCCACCAAGGACTCACCCTGGACTGAGTCTGGGGGCTCCCGGAACACACAGTTGGGTGTGGGGTCCTCAGGCCTAGGGCGGAACAGCCTATTCTGTGCTCAGCATTCCCAGACAGGCACACAAGACTCCTCTGGGCCCGAGTGGGCTGAATCCCATGGATTCAAAGCCCATGTTGGTGCTGGCCCTGGGAGTCACGAGCAGAGACGGTTGGGCAGACGGGGATGCGTGCACCTGTGTGTGCATGGGTGCGTACGTGTAGGAACGTGCATGTCCTCTGAGCAAGGCAGAGGGTATTGCAAGAAAGCTTTGGTCTCTCACTCCCTCTTGGGTTCTGCAGGATGAAGGAAAGGAAGGGTAAAGATAGAGACAGGAAGGAAATAGCTTTTCATGAGCACCTGCTGTGTACCAGGTGCTTCCCTGGCATGAGCTCTTATAACCCTTACAGCAACATGAGTTTACAGCAAGAATCACCACCCCAACTTCACAGAGATGGAAACTGAGGCTCAGAGAAGTAAGGGACCTACTCAAGGCCACTCAGCACCTAGAAAGTGTGCCTAGCACATAGGAGGCATGCAAAAATATTTGTTGAATGGGTGAATGAATGAGAGGACAGGTGAAAAGCCAGGCCTCAAACCCACACCGCTGACACTGCACTACACCGCCTCTCAGGAGAGAGGGCAAATATTTCCTTGACTCAGCCACCTTCCTCCTAGCAAGGCTTAGACCCCCAGGCCGTGGGGGTCCCTTCCTGCTAGAGTGTGACCCTCTCTGGTGCTTGTCATCAACAAGTGGTGTGTGGTGGACTTGCTGGGGAGAGTGTCTGCAGCCAGGCTTCATGGAGGGAGGAATGGAGCTCGAGGGACTGTAATGGTTGTGAATGGAGTTGGCCCCCAGCACTCTCTGGTGGCCGTATGACCTTGGGCACGTCTCCTGACCACTCTAAGCAGCTTTTGATTCTCCCTTCCAAGAGGGTAGGCCCCCTGTTCCTATTCACAGGATCCATAAAGTGTCTCAAAGAGACAGGATAGTGCCAGCCCCAGAGAGAGGGGGCTGTGGAGGGACATCTGCCCCCAGGGCTTCTCAGTGGCATCTCCTGGCTGGCCCCTGACACTCAATCTTCCTTGGTTTCCAAGATGCCTCGTGGTCTTCCCCCTCCCTAACATCCCTGACCTCCCTTTTCTGTCCCCTTTGCAACTCATTGTCCTCTACCTGCCATCAGATGTGGCTGTTCTCCAGGCTCAGTCCGGAGTCCTCTCTTCTCACTCAGCATCTGTCCCCCTGTGACCTTGTCTGCACCCACAGCTCCAGTTACAAGGCACGAGGTTCGGTTACGAAATCCCTCACAGATTTATAACTGCAGGCTTGGCTCCTTCCGGGAGCTTGAGACCCACTGCCGCCTCCGCAACACCTCCACCTGGGAGTTTCAGAGGCGCTCTCCCTCAGCGTGTCTGCAGCTGCGTGCCTGCCTTCCCCCTGCACCTGCCCTGCTCCCCAGGTCCCTTTCTCAGACCTAAGCCTGCCCGGGCTTCACAGGCTGAGGGTCCACCTTGCCACCTCCCTTTGCCTCGGTCCTCATGGAGCCCTGGCTCCACCATCTGCTGGCTTCTCCCCATCTACTCTGTATCACTCCATCTGACCACCACCGTCTCCATCAGGACAGTTGGAACACCTCTTAGCACTCTCGCCCCCACCCAGTCCACCCTCCACCCGACAGCCAGAGTGAGCCATGCCAGATACAGTCCAGGTCATGCCACACAGCTGGATAAAATCATCTTCAGCCCGGCCCTCAGGCCCTGCGTGCTTGGACCCTGCTGGGCCCTCTCCAGCCTCCCCCTGCACCAGGCCTCCTCTACAACTTCACTCTGGCCCTGCTGTTCTTTTCCTTTTAGTTTGATTAACTCGCTTTGCCCATTCCATGCTCAAAGCTGTTTCCACGACAAAAGGCTCCTCCTGTCCATTTTAGTGCCCCGAGATGTCATTTCCTTGAGGAAGTCTTCCTTGGCCCTTCGCACCAGGCCAGGCCCCTGCCACACCCCTCAGAGCTCTCCTTGGAAGGCACTGGCACGGCTGTTTGTGTGATTCCTTGAACACTGTCTGTCTGTCCTCCTCACGAGGCTGTGGGTCCTGTCTGTTTCTGGTGCCCGTTGTCTGTCTAACCCCGGCAGGAGAGTTTGTCTCATGGTAGGAGCTTAATAAATGTGTGTGGGATGAATGAGCAGAGAAAAGAGAGTGCAGAGAGTGGACAAAACAGATGCTTTCAGGAGTGTGTCTGCCAATAAACCTAAAGGCATGATTTGCCCTGGTGACCCCCAGAGGTGCTTAGTCTCTTGGCTGAATTCCTTCTGGAATCCCCAGAACCCCCTCCTTGGAAGTTTTCCCAGGAGTCTGAGGCAGGCAGGTCTCCCAGTCGTGGCCACATGACCTCGAGTGAAAACAAACCAGTCTGGCTGTTCACAGACTCAGCTGGTCAGAGCTCTGGCCCGAGGGGCCGACGCACCACCCGCCACTGCAGAAGACGCCTCCACGTCTGTCTCTGGGCTGCCTCCGCCTTCTGCAGGCCTCCTGGAGCCTCTGCTGGCTGCAGAAGTGGGGTGCATGCTGCCTGGAGGAGGAACATCTGTGGTGGGACCCCAAATCCATGTTTGTGTTACCATCGTGTTCCAATAAAACTATCGAAGCAGATGCTGCCTCGCGGTTTTATTTTTTAACTTCCTGGTGAGGAAATGCTTCCCAAACTTCATCATACGGTGTCTTGATTTAGAAAAAGAGTCATGATAAAATGCTGGGGTAAAGGCCAAATTAAAAATTGCCTCAAAAGTAAAGACATTTTCCAGAAGCGAGTTTTATCTTAAAGGGCCACACCAGCAGGGAGGGAAGGGCTGATCAGACGGTCCTGGAGAGCCAGGTAGTTGGGAGGAGCTTGGTAAGTCTTCCTGGAGTTGTCAGATGCGGAGACACCTTTTTTTTACGTGGGAGAAAGAGGCATCTTTAAAATGGAAAACTTGCCAATCAAACAAGCCCACAATAGAGAGTGGGTGGATGGATGAGGCACAAGCAAAAACCAGGTCAAGGGAAAATGCATGGATTTTGTGCAAAGAATGAATCCTAGAGCTACCAACAAAAGGGTTGTGAGGAGGAAGGAAGGGGGCAGGCCGGAGTTGAGGATGATGTTTGATCACCGCAAGGTCAGCCGTGAGCCGTGCTCCCCGGCATGGTAGGGAGGAGGCCAGAGGTTGTGGAATTCTGAGCTTCCAGCCCTCCGGAAGAGCCCGCTAAGACAGACCCTGACAAATTTTCACAAGAAGCAGAGAAGAGATTGTGTGTTAATCAAAATGTACAGGAACCACTCTGCTGAAAATGAGTTTTAATATATATTTCAGGGGAGAAAAGACAAAGCTGGAAGACTTGGGACAGGTGAAGTTGGTAAATTGGGTTGGCAGATGTTGCTAAGCAGTCCTGAACTGAAGTGTTAACCCCTGAGCGACAGCCATGGGTGTGATGAATATCCGGGCTCTTTATAGGCAAGCAGCCAGGGCTGGGGCCTGGGAACTACAAGGTCCGGAATCCTGTGCCAGCAGGCTCAGATTTCACCAGTGGGAATCGGAGACGCAAAAATCGTGATCGCTAACTAGGCAAAGGGGAATGGGGTTGCAGAGGGGGAAGGAGACCAGAGAGTCTTTGGGAAACTACCAAGACTAGGGCGTGTGAGGCCCAAACAGGCCCCATGGGCAGACGGGAGGCTTGGCGGCCACATCAGGAATTGTGTCTCCTCCCATGAGTCACGGGAAGCCTTTGAAAGGTTTTCAGCAGAGGGGGCTAAAATGATGCAGTGTGTGTTATGAAAAGAGCATTCAGGCTCCGGTGGAGAAAATAGATCAGGGGGAGGATCGGGGGCAGATCGTGAGGCCCCTGCAGCAGGTGGGGGTGGACAGGAACATTCTATGAGCATCTGCTCACTCAAGCTACATCTGGGAACCCAAGGGAATCAAAGCTCATGCCCGCCTGAAAGATGGGCATGCACCTGAACGATACAAGGGAATGAGGGAAGAAACCAGCTGTGTGGAGAGCGGGGTGGCTGCGGCTGGGAGGGAGGCGCGGTGCTCGAGTGTGGGAAGAAGTGGACCCAGCAGCTGTGAGGTTCTAGAGGAAAAGGCTCCTGAGTACCCTGGTTCAGGGGGTGTTTAAACCCGGTTTAGATGCAAGGTGGGTGGCGGGGAGTTGCCTCGTAGCCAGATTGAGGGGTGGTTTGGAATCTAATCCCAACTGAGCTGGGTGGGATGGAGAATCCCATTCTACTCACAGTGACTGAGCCCCAGCAAAGCACCCGGAAGTTCACCATGCTTGGTGTGGCCCTCAAGACTACTGTCGAGGGTGAGGTCATCATCCTCATTGTCCAGATGAGGCAACCGAGCTCGGGGAGTTCAGGTGGCTCTCCCCATGTCACACAAGCAGGAAAACATTGCTGGGAACATACGTTTCCCACCGGAATTCCAAGCATCCAGTGAGAATTCAGGAGCCCCGAGCCTGCAGGGTGAATGGAAGGAGCCCCCCACCCCCACCCTGCCACTGCCCCAACTGTCAACAGACCTAGGCTCATAACTCAATGTTTTGGAGGTCTTTGCAGAAGTCAGTGCCATATCCCTGACCTCCTCATTAAAGGTCACAGAGCACAAAGTGCTTCTCAGGTCCTGAGATGCCACCGGGCGAGCCACTGCACTGACCTGGCCTGAACTTAGCCCTCACTGCCTGGGCCATTTGGGGCATTACCAGAGTTCTCATGCACCTGGTGGGCCTGGCAGGACTCCCAGGGAAATAGGGCCCCAAAGGGACACACAGTGTGGGCCACGTGGCTCCCAGATAACCCATCCGTCACTTTCCACTGACTTTTACGAGCCCCTTCCTGTACCCAGACATGATGTCAGCCCTTCTGCAGGCACCAGCTCGTCTCTTCTGCGACCAGCCATCCCAGGTAGAGATTAGCATCCCCACGAGCTGTTAACAACTCCAAAATTAACAACCCGAACAAGCAGCATAGCTGGGGCTCCAGCCAGATTCGCTTGTCTCCAAAGTCCAGGTCTTTTCTTTATACCTTTATCTCGAAATTAATTGTGAAGGACATAACTGATAATAGACATACAATCTCTTTTTAAAATGGAAACATTACAAAGAAAAGTAGAGTTTATTTGACACCCCTGCCAACCATCTTTTTTCCCTAGCAATTTCTTTCCATGCAACCACTGTTATCCTAGTTTGCTGTATGGTATTTGGTTCAGCTTATTTATTTTGTTTTTTTAACAGGAAAGTTATACTGCTCCTAAGGAACCAAATGCAACAATATGTCTTCAAGTTTCAACCATGCTAGCACATAAAGATCTTCCTCATTATTTTTAGCCGTGGGAAGGTGTTCTATGGTATTGGTATTGGTAGGTACCCCACAGTTTAGCTGTCTTCCTAGCCACAGACATTTGAGTTATTTCTATTTTTTTGGCTGTTTAAACAGTGATATGCTGATCATCTCATGCACATGTGTAAGTGCAGGTTTTTTGGTTGTGTATGTGTGTGTGTGTTTAGCATAAGGGTACCTGCAAATGTCTTTCTGGATGTGGAGTATACATGCTGCCGAACAACCCTCCAGAGAAGCAAAGCATGTTCACACTCCCACCAGCAACACTGGGAAGAAATTGTCTCTTCACAGCCTCAACATCCCACCTGTGCCTTCTAGTCCTTCTAGTCCTCCTAGAGATGCCCTACTTCCAGGGCAGGACAGAAAAGGTAGGTAGAAGAAATACTCAGACTTCCCCTGAGGCTCACCCCAGGCTCTCCCTGAGCTCTACCAAGTCCTGCCTTCCTCCTTGGACCTCTGTGGAGGAAGCCAGTCCTGCCCGAGTCACCCAGCTATTAGAGGCTGTATCAGCTAAGAATGGCTGCAGGAGTGCTGCATAACAAACATCCACAATATCTCTCGGCATGTGAGAGTAAACATTTATTTAGCTCGTTCATCTGTAGGCAGCTAATCTAGGATTGGCTCTGCTGGGATGGTTCAGCATTGCTTCCGGTGTCTCCCAGGCTCTCCTGGGACCATCAGGGCCACCCAGGCATGTTCTTCTCCGGGAAATGGCAGGGACATAAGAGAGCAAGCCCAGCAACACATGTGCATTTCAAGTTTCCGGGCATCTCATCTGCAAACACACCATGAGCCAGAGCAAGTCCCATGGCCAAGCCGTGGATGAAGCAAGTAAACCCACCCCTTCACTC